AGAGATTTCATAAGCGTCGATGTACCCACGATGATGTTGATAATCGTCTTGTTCAAGCAATATGTGACATGACCAAATCATTTGCCGAAACAAAAGCAAGTTTGGGTGAATTAGCACAACGAAATGGATATGCTCACGACATCTCGCTCGCCCGCAAGAAACTAATGGAATCACTTTCACAAATGTTTGATTTAACGGTCAGGGATAAAATTAAGGTTGCTAAAACCGTGTGCCATAGCCCGACTGAATTAGAGATATTCTTTGGCTTAAGGTACGATGAGAAAAGTGTAATAGTACAAATGAACCTAGACGACCGTTATTGAGTATCTGTGAAGGTCCCCAAACAACGAATTTTGCGAAAATCCAACTACAGTATTATGATGTATTTCAATAGACATCGTTCAAATTATTCATTCCAATGTATGGTATGCTATTTGAACTCAATATATTATAGTATGAAAGTGTATAAACACTATAATAAATATTATTCTACTGCATTAACAATATAATGGATAAAATTTATTTTTTTCCTTATTGTTTAAGTACTATCACTTTGCTTGTCCCTAAAGCAATGAATGTATTTAATAAATAAAATATTTTCTGAAAAAAATATTTTTACGTAACAAAATATTTCACACACAATTATCAACAGTACCACCCACTATACAAGACTAATTTAATTACTATTTCATATGTATTGACAACAAACACCAAAAAATAGGATGAAAGATAACCCATGTGTAGACTTGTAACTACGAACACATGCAACCTAGTTGAGCTTAGTCTATATATGAATTGTTGTTGATGCAAATAATTATCTTTGAGATCAAGTAAAATAATATAATCAAAACGTGAAGTGAGTTCATCTGTTTTCGAATTCCATCATACTCCATATTTATATTCTCTGGGGTACAATTTATTTAATTTTTCTCATATATCTATTTGTGCATAGTACAATGTAACATAATTATGCTTAGGTTACGCCGTCGTGCTTCAATCCGTCGGGATGGCCACCTGAGTTCGACGATTTCATAATGGCACACTTGGACTGTTTTATTGGATTCAATCATCAATCGTGTTGGAATTGCATTACGTTGTTTTTACAACAGCGACATCACTAATGTCGAGGTTAAAAAGTGAATACAATTTCTTTGCAATCGGTTTCATAACTTTGTTGCATACATCAACCAACCAAGGGTGGCGTTCAATCGTTCGACAAAAACCGTTACCGTAGACAGCGCAATCATGAGAGGTTTTGAAAATACGGTAAACTTTATATCTTATTAATTAGTATTGTACATCTAAAGTATGTTTTCTGCTTGGTTTTACTGCCAAAAAGATGGTATCATTTCACACCTCTGTATCGCAACCATCTTTCTCACTTTCGACTCGACTTTGATATTGTTGCAAGACATGCGCCCTGCTGTTTAATAAGAACAACAACAATAAACATGAATGCCATGCAAAAACAAAATAATATTGAGCTAAAACTAAAAGAAAAATAAGAATGCGACATGCTCATGTCAATCCTTCTTACATATGATGTGCCCAAAAAAAATCTGAGCAAAAGAGAGCGATAAAGTTACTGCTTCAAAGCATTAGAAGGCTTGGACATTGAAATAATAAATTTTGCATGGAAACTTTTGACAATTTCAAAAACTATGACATGGGTAATATTGCATGCCATTTTATATTTAGACAAACACAACAATTTGCATGCAAAATTTTATTAAATATAACAAACACGTGGCATTCATAATACATACGTTGCAATTGCATCGCAATACCTACATGTTATGAGCACTATAAATTCGTAGTCCAAGTTTATGTTCTTCACTACCAAAGCAATACAATGTAAAAAAACTGATTTTAACCGTAAGTGAAGGGATATTATGAATTGTATCAACCAAACATAGATTTTAATTATATTTGAGTTAATTTGATTTACTTGGGTCTTTTTCCTACATAGTTTTATTTTATTTAAATTTATAATTTGTAACATTTTGTTTCATTATTTTGTAGTTGTATTAAGGATATGCCGAGGACACGTAAACTACGCAATGCATCAATGTCCAATGGAGCGGATTGCCCAATCGAGTACGACGATTTCATGATGGGGAGCTTGGAATATTTGTCTTTCCCGTATGATTCGCTCACCAATGTTGCATTGTTCAACTCAACCATAGAGGTTGTGGCGTCCGAAATGCATCGAACTTACGGGAGGGACTTCACAGACGTTGCGGTTAAGCGTCGAACACAACTTATACGAAATCATTATAGGGCATTCTTTGACTTCCTACACTTACTGGGAGTCGAGTACGACCGAAAAACTAAATGGGTCATTGTTCGTGCATTGTATGACGAGACGATGACGAAACGGGTACGTTATGTAACAGTAGAATACGTAATACTTTGTATTTACAATGCAATGACTGGAAGCATTTCATTTGTTAATGTGTGCAATGCAGATGAACACCCGCTAGCAAGCCGTGAACAAGTATATTCGGGCAAACGGGTTTCCATACTACGACACTAGTGAAATCATTTTCGACGAAAAAGAAGCGGGTCCTATTGAGTTTGGTGGAGGACAAGGAAATTGCGTCGAAGATCCTATACTCGTTGACGCGAGGTTCGTCTCCGATGATTATTGTTAAGTGTATATTTATACACTTAATTATACCTTTTAATTGGAGCTTTTGGTATGTTTTAACGATAATTGGTGCTTAAAATGGCTATTAATTGTATTTTAGGTGCAAATTGAAGAATTGGAAACTTATGGGGTGAAAACTGCAAATTCGGAGAAAAAGTGGGCCAAAAGTGAAAAAATCAGATTTCTGAAGAATTGAAGACCGCGCGGCTGTGCGGATTTCAGGCATAAATCTCACACGGCCGTCCGGATGGTCGAGGTGACGCAGTGAAGGAATTTTAATTACACAAGGAAACCCGCCCTATCATATTTTAATGACGCAGAGAACGAAGACGAAGACTTGACGAATTTTCATCATAGTTCTCCCTTTACTTTTATTTTTATTTTTCGAATTTCATGAACTTTCGTATTTTTATGATGCTTTTCGTAGAGAACATGAGTAGCTAAGTTTTTATTCTAGGATTTTATTGGAACCCTATGTGGTAATTCGAACCTATTTTTCTACTTTTATGCAAGTTTAATTCTTCGATTATTTCTTCTATCTTGATCTTATTTAGCGCATGAACGTAGCTAATTTATGTTGCTATTTGTTATTGTTAGAATTGATTGACAGATCGCTTTAATAATTAGAACAGGGATAGAAGAGCATTCGAGTAGTTTTCACCGGATGAGTGTGTTAATTGCATGTATTATCGTAGACATACAGATAATACCTTAGGTAGCCGTTTACGAGACTTGTTATTTAATGCTTTATTTATACTAGGTTTGCATAGACATATAGTGAATCTTTTATGAATAATAGGCTTATAATACAGCGACAGCTGGTTATGAGTAATTTCGTGTCTTGGGTTAATAATCGGGAATCGTAACTTGCATGATAGGAGAATAATTGGGTGAAGAATTATCGCATAGGGGGAAGATAAAATCCTAGATCCGTTTTATATTGATATTTTCTCGTGATTAGTTGCTTTCTTAATTAGTTTAATTTATTTAGTTAATTAATTTGACAACCCTGCGTAGGCTGAATAAAAATCATAATTATTAGGATTTGGTACTTAGGATTAAATAATTTGCGTATTCCCTGTGGGATCGACATCCCGAAATTGAGCGAACGTTTAGGCAAGCCAGGAGAAATCAACGGTTAGCTCAAAACACTCCCGCAACAATGGAAGAAGAGAATAATCGTGGGGGAGGTGACCAAGGGCGCCTACCGAATGTGGCAGGGGAAATCGTTATCGAGCAAGAGCAACGCCAGCTAATCAATCCACCGACTCGTCAACGAGCACTGCATGAGTACACCGTCCCGACACTCAATGGGTTCCAATCAAGCATCCAGCAGCCCCCCATTGAAGCCAACAATTTCGAGATTCGAGGGGGACTCCTCACGATGCTCCAAAACAATGGTCTATTCAGCGGATTGGCTCATGAAGATCCACATCTTCACTTGGTCAACTTTCTCGAAACGTGTGACTCGCACAAGATGAACGGAGTAACACCCGAAGCATTGCAACTCCGCCTGTTCAAGCACTCCCTACAAGGAGCAGCCCGAGAATGGTTGCAAACTCGTGCACCGCACTCCATCTCGTCGTGGGCCCAGCTAGCTCAACTTTTCATGAACACATACAACTCCCCAACAAAAACTGAGAGAATCCGGCGAGAAATTCAAAACTTCATACAAGAAGCCGGTGAAGCATTATTCGAGACGTGGGAGCGGTTCAAACAGTTAGTAAGGAGGTGCCCGAATCACGGACTACAAGAGTGGCGCCAACTGCAAATATTTTACGATGGACTGCAAGACAACTCGATGACAGTGCTCGACTCTGCAGCTGGAGGTATGTTCATGAGTTTGACCTACGATGAAGCATACGAGCTCTTGGAACGAATCGCTAGAAATAAATACATGCGAGCATCGGACCGGTCGAATAGCGGAGCAGTCAAGACGGGCGGAATTTTGGAGTTAGATGGAGTCACCGCAATCACGGCCCAATTGGAGAAGCTATCGAAGCAAGTAGCGGCTTTGCAGACTCAGCAAGTCCATGCAGTCCAAGCTCCCGATCAATGCGTAGACGAAACGGAGACGCTAAATTATGTGCATGACGCCAACCGACAACAGAGGAACCCGTACTCCAACACGTATAATCCGGGATGGAAGGATCACCCTAATTTTGGGTGGGGAGGAAATCAGCAAGGACAAAGGCAAGCACCCCCTCAAGGCCAACCGCCTAATTATTCACGACCAGCGCCCGGATTCCAAAATCCGCCTCAAGCACCACCTCAAGGCGGAGACCTCGCAAATATCTTGGCCCAATTTATGACGACCACCCAAGCATCCATTCGAAATTTGGAAACACAGATGGGCCAATTTGCGACCCAATTGAACGCGAGGCCAGCCGGTACACTACCGTCAAATACGGAAGACCCTCGAAAAGGCGCCAACGAACAATGCAAAGCCGTCAGTTTGAGGAATGGAAGACAATTAGAAGAAGTGGCGAAGAAGGCAACAAGCAAGGATGGGAAGGAGCAGCAAGAAAAAGAAGCGGAGACTCTGACAGATTCACCAGGTGAGAAAAGGGTCGTTGCGCCTAAGCCGACCCCTCAGGTACCTTATCCTCAACGCCAGATAAAAGCGAAAAATGAGTCGTATTACAAAAGTTTTCTTGAGCAATTGAATGAATTACATATTAATATTCCTTTTACTCGAGCACTTGAACTAATGCCTCATTGGGTGAAATTTTTGAAAGACATGGTATCAAAGAAACGGAAATTCGGTGAACATGAGATGATAGCTTTAACCGAACAATGCAGTGCCATTCTTACTCGCCCAATTCCACCAAAGCTTGGAGACCCGGGTAAGTTTACGATTCCAGTCGCGATCGGAGGTAAGTTCTTTGCAAAATCTCTCATAGATTTAGGTTAGGTGCGAGCATCAATCTCATGCCTTTCTCAGTTTTTCAAAGTTTGGGATTAGGAGATATAAAATTGGTATCTGTGACTTTACAGTTAGCCGATAGATCACTCATATACCCAAAATGAATAGTAGAGGATGTGTTAGTTAAAGTAGATAAATTCATCTTTCCTGCAGATTTTGTAGTTCTTGATACGGAAGAAGATAAAGAAATTCCCTTGATTTTGGGAAGACCTTTTTTGAGAACGGGTAGAACTATAATTGATGTGTATAACGGAATTTTATCTATGTCTTTGGGGGATGAAACGATTAAATTTGATGTTTTCCGTACAATGAAACACCCTCAAGAGGTTGATGAATGCTTTGCTTTTGATGTGTTGGATCAATTGAATTTTGATTTTGTTGAACCTTTAATTGCGGATCCGTTGGAAGCATCTTTGTGTGTAGGAACATCAGTTGAAGAAGAAGAAGTGACCGAACAATTATGTTGGTTGGATTCGGCAAAGCCGCTGTCAAGACCACGATTTGAGAGTTTGGAGACGGAGATCCCGTTATCTGTCACTTTTAAGCCTTCAGTGATCGAACCTCCGAAACTTGAGCTTAAAGTTTTACCATCTCATTTAAAATATATGTATCTTGGAGCTCATGAGACCTTACCTGTTATTATTTCTTCATCTTTGACAGGTCTACATGAAAAGAGACTTTTGGAGGTCTTGCGAGAACACAAGCTTGCACTTGGATGGACAATTGCCGACATCAAGGGCATAAGTCCAACTTTTTGCATGCACAAGATCATATTGGAGGAGAGCCATAAATCTTCGGTGGAACAACAGAGGCGATTGAACCCCATCATGAAGGAAGTTGTGAAGAAAGAAATCATCAAGTGGCTTGACGCAGGTATTATTTTTCCTATTTCCTATAGTGCGTGGGTTAGTCCGGTACAATGTGTACCCAAGAAGGGGGGAATGACTGTTATAAAAAACGAAAAAAATGAATTAATCCCTTCTAGGACAGTAACGGGTTGGCGAATTTGCATGGATTATAGAAAATTGAATAAAGCCACTCGAAAAGATCACTTCCCGTTGCCCTTTATTGATCAAATGCTTGATAGGCTAGCTTGTCAAGAATTTTATTGCTTTTTAGATTGGTATTCCGGTTATAACCAAATTGCCATAGCTCCCGAGGATCAAGACAAAACCACTTTTACTTGTCCTTTTGGTACCTTTGCTTTTAGACGTATGCCTTTTGGTTTGTGCAATGCTCCTGCTACTTTTCAACGTTGTATGATGGCAATTTTTACGGACATGGTTGAATGTGGTCTTGAAATTTCTATGGATGATTTTTCTGTCTTCGGTGATACGTATGACACTTGTCTCCAAATACTGGCTAAGGTTCTTCGCAGGTGTGAAGAGACAAACTTGGTGCTCAACTGGGAAAAGTGCCACTTTATGGTGCAAGAGGGGATTGTGCTAGGACACAAGGTGTCAAAGAAGGGGTTAGAAGTCGATCGAGCAAAAATCGAGACAATCGAGAAACTACCGCCACCAATTTCCGTAAAGGGAATTCGAAGTTTCTTGGGACATGCGGGATTCTATAGGCGGTTCATCAAAGATTTCTCCAAGGTAGCCAAACCATTGTGCAATTTGTTGGAGAAGGACGTCAAATTCGATTTCAATGACGAATGCCTCAAAGCCTTCGACGACTTGAAAACAAGGTTAGTAACCGCCCCTATTATTGTTGTACCCGATTGGAATGAACCTTTTGAGCTTATGTGTGATGCCAGCGATTTTGCGGTAGGTGCCGTGTTGGGTCAAAGAAAGAATAAAATTTTTCATTCAATTTACTATGCTAGTAAAACTCTCAACGATGCACAATTGAATTATACCACCACTGAAAAAGAGTTGCTAGCAGTTGTTTTTGCATTCGAAAAATTTAGATCATATCTTATAGGCACCAAAGTCATTGTCTTCACGGATCACTCGGCTTTAAAATATTTGATAGAAAAGAAAGAGGCAAAGCCTAGACTTATTAGGTGGGTGTTATTGTTGCAAGAGTTCGATTTGGAAATTCGTGACCGTAAGGGTAGCGAAAACCAAGTAGCCGATCATTTATCTAGGCTAGAAACGGAAGTCAAAGATCCAATTTTCATTAATGAAAATTTTCCGGATGAACAATTGCTTGTTATTAATAATCAAGAAGTGCCATGGTATGCGGATTTTGTGAATTATTTAGTTGGGCATGTACTTCCACCCGAGCTCACTTTTCATCAACGAAAAAAGTTTTTACACGATGTGAATTTCTACTTTTGGGAAGAACCCTTTTTGTTTAGACAATGCAGCGATTTAGTCATAAGAAGATGTGTACCGGAAAGCGAGCAAGGAGATATACTCTTCCACTGCCATGGCTCGGATTATGCGGGACATTATGGAGGTGAGCGCACGGCGAGAAAGGTGCTTCAATCAGGTTTCTTCTGGCCAACTTTGTTTAAAGATTGCTATAATTTTGTTTCAAGTTGTGATAGATGCCAGCGAGTTGGTAATATTTCAAGGAGGAACGAACTCCCATTAAATACAATGATCGAAGTAGAGCCCTTTGATGTATGGGGGATAGATTTTATGGGACCTTTTGTCCCATCATTCAATAACCTATACATCTTAGTGGCCGTCGATTATGTATCTAAATGGGTTGAGGCGGCCGCCTTTCCTACTAATGATTCTGCAGTGGTTTGTGCTTTCTTAAAAAGACAGATTTTCACTTGTTTTGGAACGCCACGAGCAATTATTAGTGATGGAGGCACTCACTTTTGCAATAAACAATTCGAAGCACTCTTGGCCAAGTATGGAGTAAAGCACAAGGTCGCATTGGCATACCACCCTCAGACGAACGGGCAAGCCGAGGTAACGAATCGTGAAATCAAAAACATCCTCGAAAAGGTTGTGAGTCCTACCCGGAAAGATTGGTCGAGAAAATTGGATGATGCACTTTGGGCATATCGTACGGCTTACAAAACTCCACTTGGGATGAGACCGTTTCGTTTGATTTATGGCAAGGCGTGTCATCTACCGGTTGAATTGGAGCATAATGCGTTTTGGGCAATTAAAAAGCTGAATTTCGATATTGAAGCGTGCAAGGAGAAACGAATGCTGCAACTCAACGAGCTCGATGAATTGAGATTGAATGCGTATGAAAGCAATCGTGTATACAAGGAGAAAACCAAGCGTTGGCACGATAACAAGATATTGCATCGAGAATTTCAAAAGGGGCAGTTGGTTCTCCTCTACAACTCCCGTCTAAAGTTGTTTCCGGGAAAACTCAAGTCAAGATGGTCCGGACCGTTTACTATACTCGACGTATTTCCTCACGGCGCAGTCGAGTTATTGGATCCCGAAACCGAAAAATCGTTCAAAGTCAACGGGCAACGCCTCAAGCATTATCGTGGAGGGGAATTCAATCGCCAAGTGACTTCGGTCACGTTAGCTTGAACAAAGAAGCAGACAAAGTCCGGCTGAAGACTGTAAACTTAGCGCTTCTCGGGAGGCAACCCGAGCTTTCGTTTTTCTTATTTTATTTTTATTTAAATTTTTCGTTTGTTTTTATTTTTCTGAAAAAAAAAAAAAAAAAGTTTCAGGGGCACTAATAAGAAGTTTTTATTTTGCAGGGACCTAATTGCAATTCTTCACACGGCCGTGCAAGAAAAAGGGAGGAATCTCACACGGCCGTGTGAGATTTTGGTGAGGCTACTGTATAAAATCGTGAAATGGCACGGCCGTGCGAAAAAAAACTGGAATCTCGCACGGCCGTCTGAGAAACGGAGGAAGCTACTGGACAAAATCGCACTTTGGCGCGGCCGTGCGGATTTAAGGCTTAAATCCCGCACGGCCGTCCCAGAATTGACTGCGCTACTGCCCAAAACTGGGAATTGGTGCGGCCGTGCGGATTTTAGGCCAAAAATCCCGCACGGCCGTCCGAAAGTGAAAAACGGGGCAGATTAAAAGGGTTTTTCCAACCCACAATTCTCACAATTCTAATCCCCCTTTCTCTCCTAATTCGAACCCTAGCTCTCTCTTTTCAAACTTTTCGATTTCTTTGACAAATTTCACCAGAAATTCACCAACTACACACACATAATACTTAATCTTAGTGGATTCTTGTTGATTTGCACAGGGAGGATTCAAGAAAAGTACAAATTTCTCCACAAACCCACTCCACCAAGAACGCCCACAAGGTGTTCGACGAATTGCCCAAGTCAAGTTTGGGGGAAATTTTGCACACCAATTCATTCCAACTCTCCTCCACAAGCATTCTTAAGGTATGGGGAAACGAGGACGTGACGGGGAGGGCACTTCACAAGCCGAAGGCACTTCTAAAGGCAAGGGGAAGGGCAAGAAAACCGACCAAATTCCGACCCCCGACGACGACGCTTTTTGTGTCGAAGGCGCTAGTGCTCGTTTTGAAAAGCAAAAGGTGAAGAAACTAGTGACGGAGCGTGCCTATGAGATCACCCTTCCACCATTTGCCCCGTTACATCAAGAATTCATACGACGAGGGTGGCAAGCACTATTGGAACCGGAGGGGTCGATCAACTTATCATTAGTCCGCGAGTTCTACGCCAACACTCGTATCCTCCTAACAACGGATCGGAAGTCGAGCACGGTTAGCGGAAAGCGGGTCGATTGGTGTGCCCAAGCAATCAACGCCTTCTATCACCTCCGCCATACACCATTCAATTGGGAGCAAATGAAACTCGCGGTTACAAAAGATCAAATCGCCGAGGTGTTGTGCGATGGACCCCCAATTTGGTCCAACCTCTCAACCGAAGAAGCGTACGAGTTGGAGTGGAAATGCATCAACCAAGTAGGCAAGGCGTGCCTTACGTTCATATGTGCCAACCTCATTCCCACCCGCTCGTGGACTCGCGTGGACCCCGAACGGTGCGCTCTTGCATACTACATCCTAAAGGGCACACCGATCAACATAGGCGAAATTATAACCGAACGTTTTTGGATCTCCATGGTCAACAATGCCAAAGGGTTTTATTTCCCTTGTCTCGTTACCGGCTTATGCAAGAAGGCGAAGGTCCCAACCAAAACGGCGGATATTCTCACCTCGATTCGGAAGCCGATGAGTAACCTTGCGGCCTGACAATACAAGGCACCCATCCAAGATGGCGAGCAACCCGTCGATGACCAACCAATAGCTCCACCCGAGGGTCCAAGTACAAGTTCGGACTGGCGATTTCAAAGAAGAATGGAGCGCGAGTTGGTGATCACGAGAAATCGGCTTGCCACGGTGGTCGGGAAAGATGCTCCAAGCCATTGTGCGCCATTTGGCTTGCGGCAATCCCGAGTGCGCCGAACCGGCTCCGTTGCCCGCACCGATTCTTGAGCCGGTACCCGAGCTTTCGGATGATGAAGATGATGGTGATGCTCATGCGCAAGGTGGAGTTGGTGAGCAACCCGACGATGGTCCCGACGTTTAAAAACAGGTATTTTCTATCCTTAAACTCCGGGCGAATCACATTGAGGGCAATGTGAATTTTAAGTTTGGGGGTGGAACTACTTGTTTTCGTTTATGTGCGCTTTATTTGGGTTTTATTTTTTTTATTTTGCATGCTTTAGTTTTTGTTTTAGTTGCCGTTTTATTATTTCCGTTTTTATTATTTAAAAAAAAAAATATATATTTCGATGCATCGATGAACTATGATGATGGGAGATGGTCAATGTTTGATGATGAGATTACTTGTTTTATGTTGATAAGGAGTATGTATTCGTTTAGCTTTCGATTCAACGGAACGTAGAAGTGAATTATTGCTAGGAATCACACCTTGTGCTTTGCTTTGGTTGAATGTTTTGCATTTTAAATTTGGAATTTATTTGTGCTCAATCATGATTTGTTCGGTTTTAAATCTCACCTTAGGACATTTATGATACGAAGTGTTGATAGTAAGTGATTTGGGATATGATTTGGGCCTTCTTTGAACCGTTTGAGCCTTTCAAGCCTACCCTTTTTGTCAAATTATCCTTAGAACCTTGATTTGAGCCTCGGAGAAAAGGTGTTCTTTCTTTTAGCCAATATGTAGAAGGTAGAAAAGTGGAGATTTTTGAATAATTATCCCTTGGAGGTCGGTCGAAAAATTCTTATAAGATCTTTCTTCTTCTTCGATAAAAAAAAAAAAAAAAAAAAAAAAAAAAAAAAAAAAAAGAAGAAGAAGAAGAAGAATAGCTTAGAAGGGAGAAATAGGGACTAGTTGTGAATTGGGTTGAAAACTCGATCCATTGCCTAAAAGGCAAAAGTGTTGACGTGTGAATTTTGGAGAATCGAGTTTATTTAAGTCCCCTAGAGGTGAATTCATTGTTTCAAACGCCTATCTTTCAAATTTTGGCGTAATCACCTCAATTCAAGAAAATTAGCCACACATTCCCATATTACCTACCTCGGACCAAAGAGCCTAACAATTGAAAGCCACAAAGTCCCAATGATCCCAATAGCTTATTGTCCAATATTAGTTGAGTAAAATAATTTGGTGAGTGTTTGGAGTCAAATATATGCATGTAAGTATAAATTTTCTCTATTTTTAACTTGGAAATATTGGATACTTGAAGCAATTGTATGATTTGTGGTTTTTGGTAATAGTGAGTGACTAAGTGCCGTTGAATGTTAAGCTTGCGAATACCTAGGAATTATCATCATAATTGCAAGTTCCGAAAACACGAAGTTGACCAATCGATCTATGTAATGAGATGTATAGTCGTGGTTTGTG